TTGCGTTACGTATATCTGTCATCTTGGCTGAGACGCCCAGCGACACCTGGGTTATGAAGAAGGATATGCTGCAAAGGAATGATTTGATATAATTATGCTTCATTTCATGATAAAAAAATGATCACACTTGTCACGGGTACTTATATATGTATATGTACTTAGCGTAAATTGTGCATTTACTTATCATGGAACACACTCCAAGGAAATTTCCCGCTGTCAGTCATTTCCTGGAGCAGTACAGTTCACACAATCCAAACAATACACGACCACTTTACTTTCGGCTTTCAAGAAACCGATGGCGGACAGTGACATGCAATCTGCGGAAGCTACACACTGGTCTCAGATTACCCCTAATGGTCTCTGACACGCAAGAGCTCGCACCATCCTACTGAACCGTCGTTTGACGGGCTCCCCAGTCAGTGGGGTTACGTGCCCCTCAAAGTTACAGCATTACGGTCCGCAACCCGGCTCGGGCACTTTCAGGAGCTGCCGGTTCGGGTGCTGAGAAACCGAGGCCAAACACGACGGCGATGGGTGAGTGCGGGCCGGATACGGATGTGCTTTGCAATTCTGCTGCGGTGGATTTCCGTCTTCGGTTGCAGCGCTTTCCTGCATGTCCATTCTTGTTCTTACCCTTCCACGACAGGATCGAAAGATCGCTGCTCACTTTGGAGTAGCGGACGTAAAGCTGACTCCAGAAGAACACTGTCGTAGTCAGCTTGAGACCCCCATCCCTCAGGACCGGCTCGGGATCTGGTTTACAGTCACAGTGTAGCTTTGCTTGATGGGAAACTAGATGTGGTTGAGCTTGACAGCCATGTCAGATGGGATGGCTGACATTTTCGGCGTAAAACCTTTGCTTCCTTGATCTTGCCTATCATGATGGTCGCCACCGTAGAGATTGAGCATCCAGATTTCGTAGAAGAATGGGTTCGCCTTGCTTGAGCACATGTTGCGTGATAGCAGTCCTGAGGACTGCAGGCTGCTGAGAGGCTCCAATGGGTAGTTCACAGCCTCTTCTGGGTTTGAAGCAGTGTCCGTCGACTTGCCTTGCCAAGTCCTTGCCTCTTTACGCTGGTGCTCCAGAGGCTTCGAGCTCATGTCATTAGCAGCAACGTTCATCGGCTTCAGGATGCCTTGCTCGCTGAGCCAGGCTCGCTGAGGTGGTGAGAGGCTTGCTGATGCCCTGCTCGCTGAGCCAGGTTCGCTGAGGTGGTGAGAGGCTTGCTGATGCCCTGTTCGCTGAGCCAGGCTCGCTGAGATGGTGAGAGGCTTACTGATGCCCTGCTCGCTGAAACAGGCTTGCTGAGGTGGTGAGAGGCTTACTGATGCCCTGCTCGCTGTGGCAGGATTACTGAGTTGACGAGAGGCTTACTGATGCCCCGCTCGCTGAGATGGGCTTGCTGAGGTGGTGAGAGTCTTGCTGATCCCATGCTCGCTGAGCCAGAATTACTGAGGTGGCGAGAGGCTTTCCCACTGATTCCGAAAATCTGAGGGACCCACCACCAACGGAGCTATTACCAACAAACGACAGAGCTTTCCCAAATTCTGATATGAAAGCTGGGATACCCGGCAAAGCTCTGGTAATTAAGAAATTTGTACTGCAACGTAATGACCTGGCTTGTACTGTGGGTATGAGTCCTTATGCATATATTTTAGCGTTAGACCCACTCCAACGACAATGTGGTCTTATCACAGGGTTATTGCAAATCATGGAAGCAATAAATTGCATAAGGTCTCAAAAGAACAACACACCGCCACACGTTCGACTTCAAATGAACCAGGGGAAGGCAGTACGATGCAAACTGCATGCAACCCCGCAAAGGTCGCACATTAGTGTCAGATTTCTTATTAAGAGTCAATGACACGAAACGGGTCACCATGTTCTACCGCGTTGTTGCTTGACCAGGTGGCCAGCGAGTGGGGTCACGTGCCTGAGCTACAGCACGGCGATCCGCTAGCTGGCTTGTGTACTCCCGGCAGCGACCGGTCTGGCGTCGACTGATTGAGGCCAAACGCAATATGGAGACGGGCAAGTTCCAGCTGTTAGCCAGTACAGGGCGCAGCAGCACTGCCCACACTGTAATGTGCATTGTTAAAAGATATGTTACAGGTTTTGCTCCAAATAATTGCTCTTCCAGGCGATCATGCAAGCATGGGCTTATGCTCGGCGTTTTATGACGATGCTTGTGGTGACGGGTGCTAATGCTTGCTTGACAATGACATACATTCCGGCGTTTGTCTGCTAACGTGCAAAATGCTAAATGTCTTGTCTGCTAAATGCAATACCTCTGCGTATATCAAATGTCGATTATTTGCAACGTAACAGCAAATAATGCTAAGAGACAGCAGCTAAAACATAGCAATACATTTCAACACACTAACGTGTGATTTCAATATACCAAGGTTTTGCTCCAATGCCCTAGGCTTTCCACTTAATTTGGCAACTGGCAGATCTGCAATCGATAAGCGTTTGGCATTCCATATTACAAGTCCTTTTGAAAATACGTACCTTCGCACTCGCGTCATTGCTAAGCTATTTCTCCAGGCACATGCTCGCAACCCTCCAGGTTTTACGGCTAACGCTGGTTAGCTTGGTTCCTTGTCTGTTTCATGATATAAATCACGATCAGCACAGCGGTAGGGTTCGGGAAAAATGTAATGCCGCTTCGTCGCTCGCAGTAAATCGGCTCATGCTAACTGTGTGGGTCAGGTTTTCTTGCGCTAACACCACACAAAGTGGTTCGTTCGGTGGCGCTAAGTGTTCCAAAAACATTCTTCTTCTCCACGCTGATTCAGGCTTGTATGGTTCAGTCACCGGGTTCAACCTATGGCAAATCACAAGGTAGTTTGATGGAACGGAATATTCCTGCCCGGTGTCGCACGCTACACGTCACGCCTATTGTTCTGAATGATCACCCAAATGTTAAATCGGTCGCATAGAATTTAAGGTTCTGACATCAGCAGACTGCTACTTTCTGAAAAGGTCTCCAGAAGGCTGCATGTCTCCATACTGATATGCTTCGCTGGACCATGTTGCGAAACATTTTAGTTGAGCTGGATATAAGACACTTCTGGGTCGGTCCCAAACTCCTCTAAGCTCTAAGCACACACACCCTGGACTGTGCGACCCTTAGGCCCGGATTAGTATACTCATACCCGTAAAGCACACGGTCAATGAGAAGTACTTGCTTGTAACATTGAACACGTACCATATGGTAGCCTCTGCCCACGGACAGCTGCAGTGAACCGCGTTGCAGTACATGGAGAAAATCGTCATCTGCTATCCGACATTAAGAGGATTTCTCCAACAGTGAGGCAGAGTGTACTGTAACGAGCTTTTACATTCATGTACATGAGGCCAAACCCGCGGATATGGTCCAGAAAGCATGTGGCAAGAGGTTTGATGCCGGCGGTCAGTCTAAGTTATGTGAAACATAGATCACGAGACGATTCCGACGTTGTTCAGTGCTTGTTCACATGGTTGAAAGATCGTACATCGGCAGTGCGTTATTAATGATACGCACGGCTTATACCCGACAAACGACGTCGAAAAACAATGTTACTTGGCCCCAAATCGACTGGCGCGGACAGGGTCGTGATTTGCCCTTGCGTGGTTGCAGTTCATGCTAATCTCCTGCGTGCACGTTCCAAGTCACGCATAAGCTTGACCAACGCTTACATAGGCTGAATAATGAACATGTTTCCTCGCGTATTTCAATGCCTATTAATTGCAGATCAAACACTGCCGTCAGATGCTC